AGTATTTTCCTCTAGTACATAAAACCTATGTTAAAAGCTTAATACCCAAATATAGGATTGCAAATAAAAGAAAAGATAAAGATTCAAATATATAAAATAGTGGTCAATCCAAAATGTTATGTTCCATAAACCAATGAAATATATATATATATATATATATATATGAAATTAATCAAACTTCTCTATGCATAAAAAAAGCAACAAAATTCTTATGCAAATTCGAATCTCGTATTGAATTCCTAGCTACTTAAATTTTTAGTATCATTGAATATCTCTCTCTCTTTCCCTTTATAAGGACGTTATGGGTTTAAAGAAAAAGAAAAAAAAAATTCATTGGATTACTCTTCTTCAAATACCACTTATTACTTTTAGATATACAATTGTTTTGATTTTTTTTTTAAAAAAAATATATTGCTTCTATTTTTCCCTATACTTTTTTTAAGGGTACCCATTCGTGAAATTTTTGATAGAATTTTTTATTAAATCAAGATTCTTGATGTACTCGAACTATTACTATATTTATATTTAAACTAAAATTCAATAATATTAAGTTAGTGAAGAAATAAAATTATAAGGAAGAACTTTAAACATAAACTTGCTAACTATGCTTTGGATAAAACGTATTTTAAACAGGGAAAATTGTTTGGTACGTCCAAGCCCACACCTGTTATTATGCGGGCTTGGAGATCTACACCGTCCACCAAAACTAGGTCATCTAAATAATAGTCCTTCAAAGAAAAAGTAAAATAAACGGCTCAATATTTGTTCCAAAAATTATCGTTTCTAGTTTTTAAAATTTATTTATTTTTACATATTAATACTCTCCATGTTAAATATTATACATATATATATATTAAAAAAATATCATTTCTAGTTTTAAAATAGGGCAAGCCTTTCTATACTCCCCCTACAATACAGAAGTTCTACCCTCCCCTTTATCCAAGCTTTATCCAACTGTCCATTCTGAATGGAGGGTTAAGATTGTTCCAATCACAATGTCATATCTCTACACTTTTTTATTTTTAATTTTTTTCTATAAACTATTATGACACTAAATTTTGGACGTCCATATCTCTATTAAACTCGCACTAGCGAAAAAAATATAAAAAAAAATATTTCAATAAAATAAAATGACCAAAATACTTTTGAAAGTTTTAAGAGGTATTTTGATCATTATATTTTATCAAAAAATTATTTTTAATATTTTTTATAAATGCGTTTCAATGAGAAGATAGCAAGCACCCAATTTCAAATTCATACAATTTGTCTTAAAAAAATTAAAAATAAAATACTTTTGTCTAAAAACATTAAAAATAGAATACTTTAACACGTGAGATCTAAGATCAAATGGTGAGCGGCTCTCTTGAATGGTAGGGGGAGGATAGAACTTCAGGGGAAGCACAGAACCTTTCCCTTTTAAAATATCGTCTGGGAGGAAAGAGAACAAATGGACTTGAGAGAGAAGAGGAGCAAACGGCTTAGAGAGAGAAAATGGAGAGTTGAAAAGCACCATCAAGAAGTCACAAGGCCAGAGCAGATAGAGAGATCAATCAAACTCAAGGAGACCGCAAAGAAGACTAGAAAGAGAGAACTGAGAGATTCAGGTATTTCTTTTTCTTTTCTTTTGACCTTTTTAGATGCAAGAATAGTGATGAAAATAGGGAATCTTTCTCTTTGTGCCTGTGCGCTCAATATATATGCAAATCCTTACCCTGTTTCACGTACCTCCAAAGCCCTAATTTCAAATGGTTTGATTGCTCTAAATATATGCAAACCCTAACCTTGTTCCATGGGCCTCCAAAGCCCTAATTTCAATAGTTTGATCGTTCAAGTTGAGATTTTCTATGGATTTGATAGAAGCAGAAAGTGCACATTTTAGGCAGAGAAGCTTCCAATTACTTGATTGTTCAATTTAGGATTTGTTATCCATTTCACAGATGATACAATAGTTATTGAACTTTCGGAAATTTTAGCTAACACCCGTAATTGGATAGATATAAACACTAAAAAATGCTATACTGCTTTATTTTTTTTAATTTCCTGGTTCATATATTTTCTAGGAACCCCTGCAAAAATTTAAAGAAATTCCAAAAGATTCAGGTTACCACGTGAGATACCTTTTATTTGAGCACTTCTATTGCACCCAGCATCAAGACCAAATTAGGAACTGTAATATTTTATTGCCTAATTTGTTTAATTACTGCTGTGATTTTTTGGAGCATTTGTTAAAATCTTTGTTGGTTCAGTTTGTAGGCTTAGGGTTTCTGTTTGTTGATGGGGACTTCCAAATAACTGGAAATTGTGGGTTCTACAGTATTCTAGTCAATAGCACATTTCCTACCACCCAATTTAAAAACTGATGGTATGAATAATTGTGACCTCCTTGTATTAAAAGCAAATGGTATTTTTGCATATTTTTCTTATTTTCAACATAGGAGGATACTGGGGGTTTCTGTATAGCACTTCCTTATCAAACAAGGAAATGCTACATGTCTAATAGATAGTTTTAGAAGCTATCGCTTCCAAAAATTAAACGCGCCATGAGAGAGCATGGTCGATCAAAACCAAGTTTCAAACTCCATCTAAAATGTCATATCCCAATCCCTCATACAGAGTCAGCTCTTTCCCTTTCTCAGCAATGTCGTTTCTAAGTACCCACTTAAAGAACCACTCTCTGTAACACTATACAATTAGATGATTTATCGGGTCGCAGTCTTTTTTTTTGGGGACAAAATCATAATTTTTATTGATTATAGTAAAAATCATTACAATTACCAAGGCAGAGAATCACTAACTACCCTCTGGGAGCCATTCACTCCCTGTTTTGTTAAGAAATCAGCTACATGATTGCCCTACCTATAAAAATGATAGAAATCAACCCACAAGCAAGATAATAAACCCGTGATGTCCATCCTAAGTGATCCGAGTGACCAAGGAAGCCTAACCTCTTGCACCAATTTATCACATTGAGAGAATCCCCTTCCACAACGCACCACACTCCTGAAAATCTCTTTTTTAACACCTTTAAACCATACAGCAGAGCAGACAATTCAGCCTTATTGGCTGTAGTATTACCACCGAAGTAGCAACAAAGAACACCAGTCATTTCTATATGTGACAAAATTAGGATATGTATACTATCCTCCCACGGGAGCATACTGTGCATCTACTTCCTTTCATAAAAAGCCTATTTAGGAAATTATTTTAGTCTGAAAATTGGAAAACCACATAAGAATCACTAGATGGGTATTTTCAAAAGAAAAAATTTGAATTTTGAGTTTTGCAACACTTAGATCTAGCCCTTCAAAAATTGGGCGGTCTCTATTCAATCTTGAGGCGTTACCTTTTCTCTAATGCATAGAAAGTTTGTTTCTAGAATCCAAATTTTTTTTTTTTATTGAGATTAGTTTATATGCTATTGTGATTACATCCCAAAATTTGAAATCTAATTAATATTCATAACATGTATTATATACCCAAAGGAGCAAATAGATAGTATACTCCCGCATGCATAAGTAAGAAATATTTTAGCATTATTATAAATTTTACGTTAATTACTGTTTGGGATGTATGGCAAAGTTTATCACCCTTTCCCTCCCTCTCTCTCTC